TTGCACAAGGATTAGCTAGTAGTATTGTACCTCCCAGGCCAGGATTGGCTAGTTGTTTCTGCTTCTTGCACAAGGATTGGCTAGTAGTATCCCATCCCTTTTGCTTTGATTACCTGTTTTTTCCCACCCTCTGCACTAGGATTTACTAGTAGCACTCTGCCACCTGTGCTAAGACTCGCTAATTGTTTCCTGCCTTGTGCACAAGGATTGGCTAATAGCATCCTACTCCCTGTGCTAGGACTGCCTATCTTTTCTTGCCTGTTGCACAAGAATTGCTTGTTCAAAGACTGACTATTTCTTGTGCTAAGACTGGATAGTAGTAGTCTACCTTCTGCACCAGGATCGGCTAGTAGTGTCCTGTATCTATCACCTAGATCTAGGGTCGGCAACATGATGCTCTTTTACTGCACTGTTGCAGCTCCACAGCAGAAAAAGATTTTTAGGCAAAAATAAAATAATCCTCCTTCACTGTGAAATAAAGCTCTGCTGATCGCTCTAACACAGTTATAACAATAAATGGTCTTAAACACTGGAGTTCATATAGCCTAAAACTGTTAATTTACCCACTTTTAACCCTAAAGATCAGCACAAAAACTGCTGGTTACATAGCAACGCAGACTACAATCTTGTCTAGCTCATCGCCAACGAAAGGGCAAAGAGAAAGACTTAAGACGAACATCAATAATATAGAGACAAATTGACTTATTTGCATTTATAATCACTCAGCTGGTTTCCTGATACGTTTAATCTTCAACGAGAAACTGTCAAACACTAAAAAAGTCACAAAGCTGAAGTCAGTTGCTCATTCGATTTTTCCCGTTCCACCTTAAATAGTGCAGCAGTTACATTCTGGCACCTCATGCACCATTTATGGTGGAACAAGAACATTCGAACAAGAAGCTGGCGAGTGAGAAGCTGACTTCAGCCTCATGGCAAGTCAAACGTTAAGAGTCATTTTACAAGAAACTATTCTACTTCTGTGGAAGAGTTTCCTGTCGGAGACGCGAGAAAAGCAGCTGAGCTACAGCTTAAATCAGAGCAAAGTCAGTCTGTTTTCATCTATATTATATTTTTTAGCCTACACTAGTACATTAGCACATACTAAGACATATTTACAGCCAAGATGGTGAAATGGACATAAAATGTTGTGGCTCCCAAGGTGGTTTGATTTTTGTTGAAAGGACAAAATGGCTCTTTGTAACATCTGGGTTGTTGATAGAACTGGCAAGCAGAACTAGTGTTCTTGCACTAAGACTGGCTAGTAGCATTCTGGTTCTTGCACTACAATTGGTCCATAGCATCCCACTTCCAGAGCTAAGAATGGTTAGTAGTTTCTCACCACCTGTGCAAGTATTGGCTAGTGATAGCCAAGCTCTGCTATGTATCAGGACTTGCTGGCAGCCCAGGCTCAGTATGATTGGCTAGTAGTTTTTCACCTCATGTAAAACGATAGGGTGGTGGTACTGTTTGCTCCCAGCCAATCCGAGACCTGTAGGTGGGACTGGGACAGAATACAGGTGGGAAAGAAAATAACTTGCCCCAGGGACTGGGAGTTAATGACCAGTGAGGACAGAGAAGCTGCTCCAGTCTTTCTGAATCCAACAGGTCAAAGGAGGCGTCATGTCCTGAAAGCGAGAGGTGAGTGGTGATTGAGTCTGAATGGACTGGACAGCGCAAACATTGTGTGTGTGTGTGTGTGTGTGTACACATTTTTTACTCCTCGCAGAGACTGTGAATGGGGAAAGGCCAGAACACTGACCTCTTTTCTCAAAACAGTTTTGGCTTACGTAGGTCCCTTCAAGGATATAAAAACACTATAGATGATTTGGCTTGCCTTACAAAAAAATGCTGCTTTTATTTGAAAAAAGCAAAAGTCAAAAGATTTCATTTTGTTTCCTGAGGTTAAGTTTAGCGTCAGGAATACAAAATGTGTGTTTTTGTATTCTACCTATTATTCTATCTACCCATTATGTTTTGAGTGACTTACGGAAAGAACTTCTGGCAAAGTGCAAAGAGACAATAGGTTAAGTACTTACAACATCCTAACATGATACAAATAGAAAATTTTTTATCACCTGGATGCTTGAATGCTTTTGAGATGATGTTTGTGATCAGTCTGTCAACAGAAACCTGAGCCTGTGTGAGAGAACAGCTTTGGTCAGAGGATTCCTAACGGAGTAGCTCAGTATGTTATTTGTATGTCAGGTCTAGTTCAAATACAGACATTTTAAGCTTGTAACAGGCATGCAAGTAACACTCTTTTCTTTGTTTTTCAGATCTGATGCAAGAGTGTAGCTTGATTTTCATCTCTCTCAAAGATTAAAGCTTAAAAGTACTATTTATCTGATGGGGACAGTTTTGGTGGTCTACCACAGGGGTGCCCAATCCTGGTCCTGGAGATCTACCACCTGGCAGAGTTTAGCTCCAACCCTAATCAATTCCAGGTAATGGAGGCTTTCAGAAGTATTTGGTCCCAATATTCAGATATGTTGGATCTGATCTCTCCAGGGTGGAAGACCTCCAGAATCAGGATTGGGCTCCCTGGTCTACCAGGTCTTGCATGGTTGTTGAAAGCTGTTTTTCCACACATTACATTTTGACTTGTAATGCCCTTTCCTAACTTCCTAGCCATTTTAGAAAATGGCTACATTTTAGAACTGTTTAGAAATGTATGATGCAGCTAAACTGGGTTTGAGTAGCTTCTTATGTGAATGTTAATGTCTCTTTGAAGGGGAACATAATGTCAGTGAAATCTTTGGGATAGCTTTCGTTGGGAGGCCGCACAGCTAGAACTGGTTGGGCTTAAGACTGGAAGGTATTAAGATCGGAGGCAGGAGGTGAACAAAAATAAAGGGTGGACAAATTAAATACTAAGAGATTTGATATTATACTTAAAGTTTGAGACTTTCGGTTAAATATGTTTTCTGCTTTTTGTTTTTCTAATGCTGAAGCATAAATAACTGTGGGGGCATTTGGTAAGTTTAAATGCACTTTTCATTTGAGAGCCAAACTAGGAGAGAGTGCACAGGTCAGAGACAGTAATGTCCATTTCTTTGAGAATAATAGCAACATTTTTCCTCTCTCACCCACTGATATTTTAAGCCCAGCAAAAAAAAAGCCAGAAAAATGACAAATCAGTATTTTCCCAACACTCGTGTTGAAACCAGCATGCGCATTGTGAACTGTTAAAAAACACAAAGTACAGCAAAACATCTGGCTCTAAAACAGTCCAAAATTCAGCTACTGTAAGGTGCAGCCATTGCTGACACAGGTGTTCAGATATGCATACACCTGTATAATCTGCATAGAAAAGCACTGACCAACAGAATAGGACACTGTGGGTCAGTTGCACAAGTCTGTTACCATACCTAATACCAAACGTCAACTAGAGGGTTGCTATGAGCTTCGGAGCAGTGGAACTGTGTTCTCTGGAGCTCAATCCGGTACCTTTGGGATACGTTAGAGTGATCCAGAACTGATCATCCAGCATTCCAATAAATGGTTAAGATGCCAACAAAGTCATTCAGCATGGTTTGATATGAAACGCTCCGTTCTAGAGAAATCGAGTCAGAATTCTTCACAGAGGTAGTGATTGGAACTAGATGTCGGAAGGGTTAATGCCTCTGAAAGCTAGAAACAGAAATATAAGACACTTTTAAAAATACTTTTGAGACAAAGTTTTGGCCTAGAATGTATTATTAAAAAACATGCATGTGGAGAGATACATGCAGGGCACTGTACATCAAAATATTCCACAAAGAAAACTTATTACTTATGATATAACACTATTTATATAACAGCATTAAGCTGTTTTTTTGCTGGTCTAGTGCTTGGTCTGATGCTGGTTTAGCTGGCCAGCATGGCTATACTAGTTGACCATCCAAAACACAACATACACTGGCTTTGCTGGTGATTAGCATATTGACTTCCATAGCTGCTGACTAGCATACCAACTGTGCTGGTTTTGCTAGTGACCAGCCATGCTGGTCTGTGCTGGTCTATCTGCGAAGAAATCTGTGTTGATAAAATCTCTACAATGAACCATTTCACATAAAAATAAACTGTGTTTACATGTAATCGATTTAATTGTGCAGAAATTTAGAAAAGGCGCCGGAATTCCCCTTTAAGTCCTGCAAGGCTAAGTTTAGTTTTTAGACAGACGGCGCCACCGTGTGGACTCTCCACTCTGAGCAGCAGAAGCCGTTTTTGGGTTCACTTAACGGTCAGAAAGACACTGTAGACACATTTCGTATGTTTTAGCTTTAAAACGTGAAGAAATGAAAGCACTGGTCATTTTTCTGAGAGAAATACAGGCCAGAGTTTCCCATTTTTGTCATCAAATGGGCGAAGAAACGTTGTGAGATTCTCGCCTCGTCAGATTTTAATGTAAATAATGAACGTAGTTGAGATTTCACTTCAAAAAACTGAGGTAAACAATATGTCTTACCGTTATTTGAACATGCTTTAATGCCGTGTTTTTGGTTTTAAGTGGATACGACAATGTATACGAGTGAAGATTGGTGCTTCAGACGAAGCAGAAAGGTTTTTTTTTCTTCAAATTGTCAGTTCCACCTTAAATACTGCGGCAGTTACATGCTGGAGCCTCTCTGTACAGAATAGAGCTGCTGCACCATTTAAGGTGGAACGGAGAATTCGACGACTCGGCAGGAGAATAGGAAGAGGGATTGGTCCTAGTCAGAGGTTAACGGTATTTTAAAGTAGTTACGTACAGTTTATTGGTTAAAATACTGAAGTAAATAATGTTTTATAGTGTGGATTTTGAATATCTGCTGTTTCCTAAGAAGGTGAAATTAGCTAAACATAGCTTTTGTGTGAAGTGAACCTATAATAACCTGTATATTTGAGCCTACTGTCGTCTTCAGCCACTGCAATGAGCTTTGGCGCCCCCTGTAGGCTCCTCTCATTTCGACATCATGTATTGGGAAGCTTCACACTCTGTCCTGCAGATATTGGCTCGATCTGTCCCTCCCCTCGCGCTGAGGCAGGAGGCTGCTGAAGCTGACCCTCAGGGGTCAGCCGTGGTGGTCATGGAGAGCCCCTCCTCGTTGGTGGTCGCTATTAGTGCTGGAGCTCCAGCAGTTCTGAGCGCTTCAGCAGCGGGAGGCTGACTGCAAGGGTTCAGTGGAGGACAGCTCAGGTACAGCATTCATCTCTTTCTTTTCTATTGTGGTGTTTTCTGTTCTAAACAACACACACACACCATTACATATGTTTCATGTACGTATGTGCATGTATTTCAATATACTGATATTTGTGTATATATATTAGCAATATATGTACATATATGACTATATATATGTACCTGTATTTTTTTTTATCATATTTTGTTTATTGATACTATTTATGTTTATTCTTTTTAATTTTTCCTTTTTTCTGTTCTATCTTACTGTGTTATATGCCAAAATGATTTGTTGTTTTAACTGTTAAAGGATAATGTAACCATCGCTAAATCTCTTGTAAAGATATCTACTCGCAAGATTTCCTGGTTTAAATACTGGGAAAACCACCTTCTGATGATGTATTTTAAAGGTGGATGTACAATTTAAAGGGCTTGGGGTGTTTTTTTTCACTACCTGGTTAATTTAATAAAAACTTTGGCCAACCATGTGAGATTAGTGCTAAATCCTTAATGCCAGCTAGCACCATTGGCCTTTAAATCAGTGGATAGCAGTCAATATTGGTTGACACTGCTGGGATTCCCAATGATTATGTGATGTATTTGCATAATGTGTGCTGGGTATAGTAATGAGAGAACACTGATGGATGGAAACACGAAAATTCAGTCATAGCATTCCTAATTCCTAATATGTCTCTCCAGCCTACATAAATAACATTTCCCAATTGTCAGTTTTAGAATCTCTGTTTCATTCTTTCTCCTACAGATGGTGCCTTCAAACCTGTTTCCAGAAATGGGCTTGGCGATGTCTGGTGTCACTGTTTTCCTCTGCTTCTTCACACTATTCCTGCTGGTTCTCCGAGTCCATAAGCAGAAAACCCTGCAACCGAATTTGCCTCCAGGTCCCAGGCCATGGCCAGTGGTGGGCAACCTCTTCCAGATGGGGGAGCAGCTGCACCTTTCCCTCACCAGCCTGAGGGCCCGCTATGGGGACGTTTTCCAGATGAAGATGGGCTCCCTGGCAGTTGTGGTGCTGAGTGGCCACTCCACCATCCGGCAGGCCCTGGTGCGGCAGGGTGAGGCCTTTGCAGGCCGGCCGGACCTCTTCACTTTTTCTGCGGTGGCCGATGGCACCAGTATGACCTTCAGCGAGAAGTACGGCGAAGCCTGGGTGCTTCACAAGAAAATCTGCAAGAATGCCCTGAGGACGTTCTCGCAAGCCAAGGCCCAGAACTCCGGCGCCTCCTGCCTGCTGGAGGAGCGCATCTCTGCTGAGGCACTGGAGATGGTGGAGGCCCTGCGGGAGCAGGGGGAGAAGGCGGGAGAGGCAGGACTAGACCCAGCCGCACTGCTGGTCACTTCTGTGGCTAATGTGGCCTGCGCGCTCTGCTTCGGAAAACGTTACGGCCATGATGACGAGAAGTTTCTCACCGTAGTGGACATTAATAAGGAGGTTCTGCGACTCTTTGCAGCAGGGAACCTGGCCGACTTCTTCCCCATCTTCCGCTACCTGCCCAGCCCGTCTCTGCGCAAGCTGGTGCGGTACATCCGCAGGATGAACGGCTTCATGGAGGACAACATCAAGGAGCACCTCCTCACTTTTGATAAGGTAGTGCTGCTTCCAAGCACGCTTACTAGTGAGTCACCTTCTTTAAACCAAGACGTCCAGGCAGCCTAAAACAAGGGTGAACAACAAAGGCACTGGTGACCATGTAGTTAATGTCCACCTATTTCAAAAGTACAATATTCTTCATCATTTTCCCTCAATCTAATGACTTTTCAGAGCATATTAAATAATAATATTTAAAACCAATAACAAATGATCAGTGTTACCTTAATTAATCTTTCTCATGTCGTTTGGCAGAAATGTAGAACTGTTGTTCTACATTTGTAGATATATGTAGATCATTTTGGCACTAAGAAATAATTCTACCATTTATCTACCATTTATATAGTGGAATGGAAAAGTGTAATAAGAAACTGACGAATACAAAGCTTCCGCCTTGAAGAGCAAGATAACATCCAACTGCACTGTAATGAAAACTTGATTTCTTTTCAACAATTAAAAAAGAACGTAAAAAGAATTATGACTACAGTAATGATTTTCTCAGTTTATCTCTCCGACTCGCCCCTAAGTAAAGTAAACTAGGCCAATGGTTAGATATGTTGAAGCATCAGTCAGCTGTAATCATTTGACAAGCAAATTATATCACTTGTTATACAACAGTTAGTTCCGGCCACGCAAGCTGATTGGTTGAGAAGCGCTCTAACCGTCCTGTAATTTCGCCATAACATCACTGGTTTTTCACAAACACCGTATCACTCCGCTAAGACGCCGTTGCTAAGCAACGAGTTTGACAGCTGTTGGAGCCATTTGAACGTTTTTATATCTTACTTTGCCACAAACAGAAAATGGATACTTTTAAGATCACATTTGACCGACAGCCAGTTTGGTCAGACTTTGAAGATGAGATTACACTGAATTCCCAAACTGTCATCACCACTGAGCAGCTTTTCAGTCGGCAGCTGTGACAGAAGAACAGCTGAACAACCTGGAATCAGCCAGAAATGAAGCGAAACCTGCAGTCTCGTCTTCAGAGTCTGATCAAATCGGACTGAGCCATAAAACTGCCGCAATAAAAAACAAAAAAGATGCTCAGTGGTGATGACAGTTTCGGAATTTAGTGTAAGGAGCTGGAGAACGAACTGCCGGCTGTGCAGCGAGTGAGCGGAGCTCGTTACTCTGACGTAGCAACAAGCTGCTTGTTAAGAAACTATAATTTGGCAGGAGGAACTGCTAACATTAAAATATATTAAACGCCGCGTTCACAGCCTAATTTATTAATTTCTTACTTTATTTATTTAACTGTTGTATAAAAGCAATAGAACACTCGAGGTCGTGTGTTATCGCTATAATATCACGGCTGTGACGATCTACGACCAAATCACAGCCGTGATGTTATTTCGCGATAACACACTCCCAAAATCATATCTTTGTCAAGAAGCTAAGACTGAGAGATGCAGTGCTACTGACACTAAACAGCAGGACAGATAACATATTGAATGCTACTTTTATGCTGTTTTATCTTCAAGGCCAGAAGGACCCTCTATTTCAACTTAAGCAAACTCAGATTAAAGAGAAGTTCCACTGATTTTTGAAAAACATCTGCATAATTCAGTGGTTGAGATGTAAACAAAGTTATTCAGAGTGCTTTGATGTGAAATGGGTGACTGTAGAGATTTCTTTACAGTGGTAGCGATAGGAACCAGAAGGCACGATGTCCATAAATCTTATTGACACTGGTAGACGTTCTCCAGACGCTAAACACATTTCTCACGCTACCTATGACACAGTTCAGCGTGTTCAGTTGGATCAGTGTGTCCACTGGGTTGAGGCCAGAGCAGTGTGTCCCTCTCCCAGCACTGATAAAGTGGCTCTTTGTTTCTGTGCAAAACGTTCACACGCATTCATTTAATATGCCGTAGTCAGTCTTGTGGAAGGCACACGCATAGTCTGAAAAGGATTTAAGGGTTTAAAGATCATAAACCACATTTCTAAGAAATCAAAACAGTTTGTTTTATTATCTTATTAAAATCAGCTGCATGAAAGGAACTGCTTTATTCGGTGCATCTAGAATGAACCGCCCTAACGATAATGATACACAATGTAGAGTACTGTGCAAAAGTCAAAGACCACCCTTTGTAAATTTGGTGGAAATGGTCATTAAGTACTTAAGTTATTCAGAAGCCTCAAGAACTCAATATAATATCAAATATTTCACTCTTCAGTTCATCCACCCTTTGTCTTCATTACAGCCTCCATACTTTTCAGAAGACTTGCTTTCAGTGCTTTCCACACCTCAAAGTTCAGTCTTAGAAGTTGGTTGCACTTTCTGCTTCCCACGATCCAAATAATCCCGAACACATTCAGCGATGTTGGGGTGGTCAGTACATTGTTCTGAGAACACCAGCAGCTTCTTTTCTTAGTAAGGGCTTCTTGACAGCTACACATCCTTTCAGACCCATAGGGTTGAATTGTTCTCACAGTGGAAGGATGGACAGAAACACCTGTGGATGTTTTCAGATCTGAAGCAGCTTGATTTTCTCCTCTCTCTCAAAGATAAAAGCTTTAAGTGCTGTTTATCTGATGTGGTCAGTTTTGATGTCTACCAGGTGATTGTTAGGAGTTCCATTTTCTCATTTTTTGGATCAACTTTATCGTTCCTTATGCAAGTGAATTATCATATGTGTAATCTTCTCAGAAATATCTCCTGAAATATGATGAACTTGCACTTAATTGCTGTATAGACTGAATATTAAATAAATGAAAAGTGGTCAGTACTGTACTTATGGAATGGAAATGTAACTGTAATTATTGTATTTAAATGTAAATGTAATTATTGTTAACTGTGTCTCTAATGGTGCAATTGTATAATTACACTAGATATTTATCTAATATAAATCAATAACTCATCCTCATTCATCCATTACTACAAGTCAGTTTATTGCTTTGGCTGATGACTTTCTAAAGAATGACCCTTTGCCCATTTATGTTTACCCAGAACTGTATCCGTGACATCACCGATGCCCTCATAGCGATGTGTGAGGATCGTCAGGAGGACGAAGAGAGAGCTGTTCTCACCGACTCACAGATCATTCACACCGTCATCGACATCTTTGGTGCAGGTGAGATGAAGATGTGGAAGATCGAGATTGAGCAGTGCTCTCATTTTTAGGCCAAGATGCAAATCTGAGTCCTAGAATAAGGGCTGTAAAAAGAACTCAAACTCAAAGTTAATTGAATTTTTTTATTTCTGGAGACCACCAGGTCACTATAGGACAGTCTAAAATCTGTAAAGGAAGAGTTCAAATTTAATCAGTTTTATTCAGTCAATGTTCCCCTTATTCCAAATGTAGTTGACATACTGTTGGAGGGCTGGAACGGGACTTATTTTCAGGCCACACACTCACACAGCACTGCCTTCATGCAGAACTTTTTTTTTTTTAAATCTGTGCATTATGTCTGCATTTTACTCTTATTTATTATTTATTTGCCACACTGAGAAAACCAAGATGGGTTGCTAGTGATTACAAACTGGTAAGGGCTTTTATCGTAAATGTGACATAATCATGACAGTCAATATGCTACTAACTAATGCTACTTAAGTAATCTTGAGTCAGCATTTCTCACTGCCTAAATGCTCAGCTATGTCCTCTTCCTCCTTAAGTATCTTGTTCATTTTCTTGGTGCTATGGTGGTTTTTAGTAGTTCTTGCCATTACTATCCATCTTCACATGACTCACATGAAAATTGCCTCATCAGCAATGAAAAAAAGGAAGGAACACTGTAGAGCACTGCGTGTCATGTCAGCCTACACTAACCTCTTGTTAGCGAATTCGAATTGCCATTTTACTTTAAATATTGAGCACTGTCATGCCAGCGCCCCTAAAGGTGTCTGAATGTAACTGCAAAATCATCTGCCATATTTAATTGATTAATTAGCCATCATGCACTGTAATCACCGGAATCATCCGAGTAAACGGGGTCTCCAAAGTGGAAGTTGAGCACTAGGGAAATGCTTTTGCCGTCTTATCTAGCGTCATTTCAAAATCGAAAAAAGTAGTTTGCTTTACATGCTCACCAAATATGTGAACAAAGCAAATTTTACGCCATCGTTCAATAAACGTCAAACAATCTATCGAACAGCTGGTAAATGTTTAACAGTGCAGCTAACAGGAGAGGGGAGCTGGTTAGCATTAGCTTCGTTAGCATGATCTGCTCTGCCCACGACAGAACATGTTCGATTTTGGCTCACCAAATCACTGACACAAGTTTAGATGATGAAAAATAATGATTGAAATTTGAGAGAGTGAAGCTGAGCAACTGCTGAAGGGACAGAAAGGTGAAATTAAACCTGTTATGTGTTGTTGGGATCTTTAGCCTGATATGCTACCTTAATGTTAGCTCAGCAAGCAAGCTACAGACCCAAACAGTGCCACCCATCACAGTACAGGATTGATTCTGAAAACTGATGCTTTGTTGACACAAATTTAGATGATAAAAATGTTCGAGAGAGCAAAAGTAGAGTGACAGTAAGCCGAGATCAAACTTTTGTGGTGAGTGCAGAGAATGTGTAGCCGTGGCTGAGCTGTTATCATGCTAAGTTTTTCTGGGATTTTTCCAGGTTCTAATTTCTCCCCTTTTTCTATCAGCGCTGCCTGTTGGTGAACTCCCACGCCACCAATCAGTGAGCCCTTTAAAATATAAATGGGTGGGTTATGTTTACTTTTCCGTTCAGACATGGAATAGAAATTTGACATAATTTTTAAATACCATAATAAATTTTAAACACCGTCATGATTTTCACATACCATGGTATACCATATTACCACCATGTTGTCCAGCACTGTCAGCAGGCAATCAGCGCAGGAAGCATGGACAAAGGTGCGACAAGGCCATAGCTACTGATAGATTAGCTGTCATTGGCAGGGCCGGACAGATGAGCCAGGCTGTATTTAGTCAATAATGTAAACACATGAACCAAATTGGAGCATATTTAGGAGAAGGAATTATTTCATGCATCTTATAGTTGGTGAAACATCAAATTAGCCTTTTAGCCCCAAATGCAGTTGACCAGCTAAAACATGTTTGCTTTTTGATTTTGCACTGCAGCTTTTGAGGCTAATGTAGCTAACAAGTAATGGAAGCTTATATTACACTAATTAGCACTTACAAAAATGACAAAAATACAGACAAAATTCAGGCGGCCTCTGCTGCTTTTAGCTATGCTCACATACCTTTGTCCGTTTTTACAGATAACAATGTGTCAGATGGTGTCAGAAACCAAGCAACTCAGTAAGATTACTGAACAACTTTGAGGCAGGTGTGCATGATGCTTACTGGCGGAGTATAAGCTTCCATTATTTCTTAGCTATATTAACCTCAAAGCTGTAAAACAAAGCAAACTTTAAACACCAAACATGTCTTGGCTGATCAGCTATGTTCACGTTAAATGGAAAATTGTGTAAATGTGATTTTTTGCCGTACTATTGCATTAAGTAAACAGTTGCCAAAACCCTGATGTATAACTGTGAGGGCAGTTGTTTTTATTATCACACATTTACAAGATGCCCAAGAGGCGTTCTTTATGGGGGCACGTCTCTGCTATTGCTTTTCCTGGAAGAAAAAAAGCATATTTGGGATGAGACCCAGATGCTTTATCTGGCTTTGCTCCACAGGCCAGGGCCTGCACTGCACTATTCTCTGAATCCTGTGTTTTGGATCCTTTGCTTGTTGGCTTGCGACATTCATTCCTGTGTTAGTTTATGTATCTGAGTAATGTGAGTTTGTTAAAGAGCGTTTAGCGTTTTCTCTGATGAGCCACAGGCCACTCTTTTCTGTACACTGGCTGGCTGAAGTGAGGTAGGAGGGGCTCCAGGCTTCAGTGCAGCATGATCCATCTTTGTCCTACTTGGCTGCATCTGCTGTTGCATCTCTCTGCCTGCTCCGTGCCCTCTGGTTAAATAGTGCTACAGACAAATACAATGAATTGTTGGATTGCTTGGAGTTATGCTTCTGTTTGTTTGTGTCTGCGCAGTAGGGATGCGCCGATATGGGAATTGGGAAAAGATAAGTATTTATTTGCACATACCGATACATAAACCTTTATAAAATGTAGAAATTGGGACTAGTGGACGACATGGCAAAAGCACACCATATATATAAACCACTATATAAACATAAACAAGACATTTTCTGATTCAGCAAAAATAAGGAGTTCCTGAAAATGTGCCCCATATTTTCAGTGTATTAGAGCATTCAACATTATAAAAGTACAATATTTGAAACAAATATAGTGTCCGAATCTAGCGTTTGAGTAACAAGCTAATCTTAGCCCTAAGCTAACACACTAACCATAAACCAATGTGCTAGTCACAAAGCATCAATATATACTGTAAGGGTCCAGCCTGTGCCGCTGGCCGCCAGCAGAGGGCGACGGCGGCAAGGCACCACAAGTTCAGGGGACTCCAATTCCCAGAAGGCCTCAGGCTGATTAGGCCCAACCTGGCAAGCCTGGGGGCTCCTCTACCTCAGGCCGTGGCAAACAGCAGCCCTTTGTCACACCTTTGTAGACCGGTACAGTACTAAACCCAGGTGGGTATTTAGACTAAAAGAAAAGGAAAGAAAAGAAAAGAAAAGAGGGCTGGTAAAAAAGAGAAATTGCCCCAAAACAACAGAAAGAAGAAAAAGTGGGCTAAAAAGGAATAAATTGCCCCAAAACTACTTAAAAGACAAAAAGAAGGCTTAAACAAGAAACGGCTACTAAATTGGGTAAAAAAAAAAAACACCAAAAAAAAGAAACAGCTCCAAGCCAAACGAAAAAGGTGAAACATAAAGCTGATCTTTGTCTCATAATTACAGAGGAAGTGTCTTTTGTTTTCTGATTATCTTTTATTTTACTTGTCTGTCTCAGCCTTTGTTTGAGCGCGCTGCTTTCAGCGTCCCCTTTGTTGGCCCTTTCCTGCCGTTTTTTCCATTCCCATTCATTGAGGTGTTTTTCCTGTGTTTTTCCCTGTGGCGCAGTGGTAACTCCTCGGACCTCTATTCAGTACATCGGCGGTTCGAGCCTGGCTCTCATTAATTCATTTAAGACCCTTTCTCATGGGTTTTCCTCTCCACACTTGGGTCTGCCTCCCTGCCGTTCCGTAACACATACAACACTGTAAAGTGCTGTACAATACTAATATGATACAGTACTATATATTGTGATACAATTCAATACAATTTGATAAAAAACAAACATGGTTTGGCTATAAATAAGAAACAATTCATATAAAATTACACCATGCTTTTGATTTGCTAGCAAGAACTGCCACTTTTAAGTGGTTTAAATGTGCATATGTGAGGGCAACTCTAAACAGCCTTTAAGCTGCATTAACTAAGAACAATGCCAGGCTGTGTTTTCTTTCACTTTTAGGGTTCGACACAATCATTGCCGGCCTGCAGTGGAGCCTGCTGTATCTCATCAAGTTCCCGCACATCCAGGCCAGAATCTACCAGGAGATCGGTAAAAAAAACACCACTCGTGCACCCCAGTGAGCGCTACATATTGTTCAGATGCTCCAGATGCATCTTGGAGGCATTAGCTCAACATAATCAGTGATGGTCACTGAAATTTCGGAAACTGTTCAGCCATCGCAAACTGCTGAAATTGTTAAAGGTGGCAGCTTAAATCATCGTTTACAGAATATAGGGCATGTGTTTTAGAGTGATTAACCTGATATTTAATAACTCGGATTTTTCCTGTATGTGGTCTAAATATTTGGTTGTTATTCAGGCTGATATGTAAGGAAGCCATGCTTTTCAGTTAGATGCCCATAGAGTAAGTAGGGGACCTTACTCTGTGTGTGTTTAACCCGTAATCACAAGCAATCTCACCTTGTACAATGAATACACGACTGTGCAAATCCCAATCATTAATTTAATTTCCAATCAAAACGGCCATCAAGTACAAGTTATTCATATTTCAGGACATATTTCTCAGGAGATTAGATACAAATAAGGAATAAGGAAGGAAGGAGAAAGCCAAAGGAAAATAAGTGAAAAGTTTCCGAAGGTAGAGTTCAAAAAATGATTAACAGCTACAGAAAAAATGAGACTCCTGACAAACAACCCTGCGAGACATGGAAGATGACCAAAGCTGTCCCCATCAGATAAACAGGATATAAAGCTGTCATCTTTGAAAAATATCAAGCTCAGTCTTGCTTCAGATCTGGAAAAAATCCACAGGTGTTTCTGTCCATCCTTCCACTGAGAGAATACAACTCAGCGCTATGGGTCTGACAGGATATGTAGCTGTCAAGAAGCCCTTACTGAGAAAAGGACATAGACTGGCAAATGAGACAAAGAAGCTGCTGGTGTTCTCAGAACAATTAACTGGATGTGTTTGGGATTACTTGAGAACATAAGAAGCCAAAAGGGCAACTGAACTTCAGAGGTGTGAAAAATATACACCAAATTCTTTTTAAGTATATTTACAACAGCATGTTCGGCAGTTGAAGCATACTGCCGGCTTAACTTTCTAACGTACTTAATGGGCGTTTTGATTGGAAAAATAGATATATGAAAGGTGGGCTCTGTATATACAGGATAGAGCAAAATACTTGTAGTGATGGCTGAACACTGAAAACACTGTCCTAAATGAGCTCAGTAATGTATTCTATTACAATACATAAAAAAGTAACGTGTACAGAATATATAAAATTCTATAATTATATAAATTTAGAATACATTTACAATGAACATTGAAAAGGCACCTTGGAAATCTTTGTTTTTTTAATTCACACTGTTCCCCACTGTTACTGGTTGTCAGCTGTCATGTAATTATTCTCTTTCCTTAAATATGGCTCATGAAAAAATCATTTAAATTAATTTCTGAACATTTTTTTCCTCTCTTAACACCTGCTTCTGTCCACTATTGCTCCCACAATCCCCGAGTGGGAAGCCAGTACAACAAAGGAGATTATTAATTTAGTCATCCCCCAAAAGAGCTCAGTAGTGCTCGATTTATAACTGATCGTCACATTGGTTTATCAGTCTACTCAGGCTTTAGTAGGAACTTCAGTTTGTAAAGAAGCTGTTAATTGAGTTCCGCTTTAGAGTTCGTCTAACAAACTGGTCTGCTACATGCCGTGCAATGATTCTGCTTAATAAACAAGTACTGATGGTGTTTCTTTTAAAGATTGTATATATTTATTTTTAAATTTAGTAGGTAAGTATTCTAAAAGTACAGGGTGTCCCAAAAAAATTGACATTGTTTCGTAGTCTAATAACATAACCAATTCTCCCTCAAATGATCTCAAATTTTAACAAAATGTGTAAAAACTAACCAAGTTTCATATTTAATGTTTTTTTTTCAGGTTGAAGAATGGCGTTCACTAGAAATGAAAAGGCATTTTGTGTGTTAGAATATGCTCAAACACAGTTAAACAAGAGTGTGCAGCATGCATTTTCGAGAAAGTAAAAATGCACCAACTGGAAAGCAAATTTGGACATGGCACAAAAAATTCAAAGAGGAAGGCTGTCTGTATTCTGAATACTGCCTTTACTAATTGTAACTTGGACTGAATTCAGATACTTAATTGTATTCTGAATATGTATCCCAAATTGTATTGTATTCCATTACATCCCAACCCTGTGTTTATACAATATACTGAAGCCGGATTTCTCACCTGTAAGTGCCATGCTGAGAGGGACCTGTTTGGATGTGAAGCTTTTAGAAGTTGCTCCAAAAAAAGATAAGTAGAGCAGTTTCAGAAAGCATCTGAAACGGTATATAGTTAGTATGTGTTATTACAAAGATGTGCAAGTATCTGTTATGGTCGCTTATTGCTTCAGTTTGTGTGTGTTTGTTTTCTCAGATGATCAGGTTGGGTTGAATAGCCTTCCACGATTCGAGGACAAGCCAAAAATGCCATACATAGAAGCCTTCTTATATGAAGTTTTTCGCCATGCATCCTATGTGCCTTTCACCATCCCTCATTGGTAAGGTCTTACGTTTTTGATTTATTGCTATTTTAATACAACATATCTGCATTGTTTAAAGGGGAATTTCACAGATTTTTCATTAAGATGTAAAGAGTCATTCAGAAGCATTCAGTGGTTTGGTGTGAAGGCGTTACAAATCCTTATGAAATTATTTTCATAGCTTTGAATGGGTAGAAAAATGCCTACAAGTCCTCATTTTCTGTCTCTTTCTTTTTGTCATGTAGCACAACTGAAAATATCACACTGAATGGATACTTCATCCCGAAAGATACGTGTGTGTTCATCAACCAGTATCAAGTGAATCATGACACGTATGTTACAGTGTGTTTTTAATGCATGTGTTTAGGCCTGTGTAAGGCACGCAAACCCAGCCACGCATTACAGTGATTTTACTCATGCCCAACAACAGTCCTTAACTGTGGTAACTTTTACTGTAATGGCATCAATTGGCTTTTTTAAATCTTTTTATGTTCTGTATCTCTAATTCTTTGTTATATATTGTGTCCTTTGAATACTAAATGTTAGGGCATATTATAGAAAATGTAAGGAAATAAGCCTGGATAAAGTTCTCCTGATCAACTGATGGGGCCAACACTTTTATTGAATGGCTATGGTCTAATTTGTTCTAAATTATGTATAAAATATATTACACATGACTATGGGGGTTTGTGGAAAGAGCTGTACATTTGGTTTTGAGAGCAAAACTTTTTTTTTTTTTGGAAGTTAAACTTCTAGGGTAAGAAGTCCCCTGGACAGGGGGCAAAAGGCCCTTTTAGCATACTGCTACAAATATAATTTTCACTTTGTATTTTGCCATATTTGATTAAAATGAGATGAATTCAATAAATATAAACTGATTTTTTATGCTTCATTCTGTATATTTTTACCAGTTATCTTCCAAATTCTCTTTCTGTATCCCAAAGGGAGATCTGGGGTGACCCGGAATCATTCCGTCCGGAGCGCTTTCTCAACCAGTTCACTTATCTTAATAAAGACCTGGCCGAAAAGGTGATGATCTTTGGGATGGGGAAGCGCCGTTGCCTTGGAGACAGCTTTGCTCGTCTGGAGATGTTTGTGTTCTTAACGACCATACTCCAGCGTCTGCGCATCGAAAACGTTCCAGGTCAGGAGCTCGACCTCAGCTCTTGTTTCGGTCTGACCATGAAGCCCAGACCTTACCAGATCAAGATTTCCTCTCGGATGTAGATCCTCAGCGTTTCTCCCTTATTATCTGGTTACAGCACTGACTCATACCAACACCACGTCCAACAACCAAACAACACCAGTTGACCAGACAGGCTCAACACACCTTTACCATAAAAAGCTAATGCTGTTTACAACTGGACTTTGTGTCAGGTTCATCATAACCAATCACACAGCTCAACACAGCTTTTAACGTCTTCTACCTCTGAGAAACAAGAATCAAGAGATTATTGGTTTTTATGACTTTAATACGTTCTTATAACCAACTAAGGCTTGCATGACTTTTTTGGAATAGATGTATTCATAATCCATGCTGAAACATATTCATGTATAAGCTTAAGTGATCGTAAGACTCTGTTAATATTCTTAATATTAAGAGATTTGTTTGAAAACAGAGCTTTCAGTGTGAATTATCTGTTGTGATGAGTTTGCGGTCTCTTCTGAAAATCTAAGAACACACACACACACACATTGTCTAAGCCACTTATCCTTAAGGGTTGCAGGGGAGAGCTGGAGCCTATCTCAGCGGTCAATGGGCAGAAGGCGAAAATCTAAGAACGGTGAACATTAAGTACAGGTTTGACCACTGCAAGTTTTCTTATGAATTAATTGCTATTAATTAAATTAACTCACCACTGCTAATTAGAACTATGGCAAGGGATGCTTGATGATGCTAAGATGTTAAGACAGTTGCTTAAGGAAATAATTATATATTTAGATTTGTGTGATTTGATGATGTACAGTGGATGCAAAAGTTAGTGACCACTCTTCATTTATGTGTTTAATTTCCAGCGTCCATTACGTACAAGTTTTTTGTTTTTAGGGAGATATCAGTGAAGAGATAAGGAAGCGAAGAGTCAAAGGAAATTAGACAAAAACAGCAACAAGAGTTTCCAAAACTGCAAGACCTGGTAGACCACCAAAAAGGACACTTAAAGCTTCCATCTTTGAGAGAGAGGAGAAAATCAAGCTGCTTCATATCTGAAAAAATCCTCAGGTGTGTCTGTCCATCCTTCCACTGAAGACAATGCTATGAGACTAAAAGGATGTGTAGCTCTAAAGAATAACATACTTGAATTATTAACCAACCTTCTGGTTATAGTTGGTTATCAACAACATTATAGACAGGGTTAGGTTTAGGGTTAAGTTTAGATTTAATTTGAGTCTTTCACACCCAAACTTCAGTTGCATTTAATAGATTTTTAGGTCAGTGTTACTTAAAGACTCCAGACCTCAACATCATTGAATGTGTTTGGGATTACTCAGATTGTGAGAAGCAGAAAATGCAACCAACTTCTAAGACTGAACTTTGGATATGTGGAAAAATATCTCTCAGCTTTCTTAGAGCCTCCTGAGAACTGCATTTTTTTATATTATATTTGGTTGTTGAGGCTTCTGTGTAATTTTCTGTTAAATATGTTTTCTGCCTTTTTCCCTGACACTGAAAGATGAATAACCTGTACTAAATGGCCTTTTTTTTTACTGGAAATTAAAGGGTATAAACAAAACCAGGGACATTCTGCTCCAGTGCCTGAACAAAGTCCTCCTTGTTGAAGAGAAGTTTTTGTATTTGAATGAAAGAGTTCCAGTTGAGTGATAGTGAGAAGGTCAGTGGCTTTATTCCAAACAAAGGCTACACGTGCTGAAGGAATAGAACATGACTGAGGCTGTGGGGTCGGAAGATGACGTCAAAGACTCTGAAAGACTCTAATAAAAGAACAGCTCATTAAAACTAAAATCTGGGGCTGTGACCAAAATGGATTACTTCCTCATTAGTATTGTGCCATATAGAGGAGGGGCTACTTAGGTTATGTAACGAGTCAGAACAAATCAGACGCTCATGGATAAAAAACAGTTTTGAGGTTTTAATGAAAAAAGGGAGATCTAAACTTGTAGTGATTAAACAGAGAAAAACAGGACAGGCAGACAAACAACGCTCAGTGAAACTGGAGCAATACTTTGCCAATAAGTGAGTACCTATAAAAAATAGATGTAGAGGTAGACACAGGTGAGGAGAATCATTAATTGGGTGAAGCTGATCTGAATTGAATGGTGCCTGTGAGTTCTGGGTCAGGTGATCCTTCTCAGAATTATGGGAGTTGGAGTTTGGGAACACAAGAGTCAGATTAGCAGCAGAGTTGGAGGGAGATGTCACAGTTTACCAAAAAGTGATAAAAACATGCATCAATGAAAGAACATGGACATTTTTTTCTTTGTTAATGAACATCCACCAGTGAATGCCGACATGTGCCGATATTCGGTAATTCTCCCGGAGCTTTCAGTTTCGTCTTCACCAGCATCACAGGAGAGACTATAAAGTTACAACAGTTGACAGCTGGACTTATCACCCAGAATGTGTTCAAGTTTGCTGTAAAAAGGGCGCGTTATTTAGCCACAGCCACTTCTTTGATTCATGCCCTCGGATTCTTTAAACTTTTCTTTGACGCTGCAGCCTCGGGCTCCTCCGGCCGCGTTCGGCTGTTTCATTCGAAACCTCTTCGAACACGGAGCGGTTGCAACAAGTCTCTTCTAATTTTTTTGGTACAGAAACATCAGCCTAACGAATGTTGAGTTGGACTGACATAAAAGTCTCATGAATTCCGATCTGGCTGTTCAGACTGAGTCGCATTGCCGCAGATCAGATACGTATCGGATTTCAGTACCACATATGAAAGCGTCTCAAATCGGAATTGAAAATGTCAGATTCAGTGCGTTTTTTGCTGTTCACACTGACACACAGATACAAATCTGTGTCACATTTGAAGAAAAAGATCAGATTTGGGCCACTTTTACCTGCTGTGTAAACGTAGCCTTAGAGTCACAAACTCCCATGGCGCTCTCATGCTCTTATCTAGCCCCGATATAGCCCCTAATCTAGATATGATACAACTCCCTCCTCCAAGAGGAGCTCATAAACAATCACAACAGCCGCAGCATGGCAGAAGGGGGAGTAGATTAAGGACTTTTGCATCCTTAAAAAGGTGAAAACTCATGTTGTGCCCGGAGTGGAGAAGGAAACAAATGCTCATGCCAATATATACAGAACTTTGTATTGAACATACTTAAGAATGTGTTTTTGTTCAACACACAGCTCAGCAGACTGCTAACTGGCTACCAGGTGAATCCAGTAATACAGAGGAAAAAAAGGTAGCTGAATGTCTGTTACAAGCTAAGTTTGTCCAAAGTCCATGTGCAGACTCCAGCTGTGTAATACTGAACCCAGGATGGAAGAAAATGTATCAAACCTGACATGGCAACACATTTCACTGTTGTTGGAACAAAACCTTGTATCTCCAAAATGAGAACTACAGTAGAAGAAAAAAAACTATTTTACTTTGTAAGTCAATGGAACCAGACTTTTTTCCAAGTCATTTTGGGTCATTTCTTTTGGTCCATTCATCATGAAATTGCACACAATGTAAAGAACAACAGGTATTTTCAAATTATGTCAAAAAATTGAAAATGACAAAAATGGAGATACGAGGTTTTCTTCTGACAGGAGCGATTTATTTCATGCGTTTAATGACAGGAGTCCCACGCAACAGTTATCGGTCAGTGATTTTGCTGTATAAAGTGAAGCAGGCATGTCAGAACACATTCGACTGATGTAGTGATCTGCAGTGTTTACTAGATATTACGAGCACACTGTAAAGGATTGTAGTGCCCTTAAAATCACACTAGAATTCCGTTTCACGATTCAGACATGATTTCGAGAAAAATGGCCAATGTATTTAATTGGCTAATTGCACAAGTTGCTTGGTTTAACTTCTAACTTAACACCATATACCCTTGTCTTATTTCATACACGATGCCTTCCTAGAAGATTTTTGCCAAAAAATGATAATGTTTCACCCACACATCAGCTCTAAGGTAACTTATCTGAAGTAATGATAAAAAACATTAGAAAGCAATGTTAAGATCAGTTAGCTGACTACCTAACATTTTATAGTTTAGATATTGCAGACAGCTTACAAAATGAGCCAGATTAAAGAGGACTGCTGTTAAAATGTAATATTCTGCTTGAAGATAAATACTAATGCGCTTGTATGCATGCAATCCTGTGCATTTTTTGAGATTTGCGAAAGGATCTTTTTTTTTTTCACAGCAGGGAGGGGGCGGAGAGCAAAGCCCAAGCTCCTCCGAGTGATGTGAGTGATGGCGGGAGGAGGAGGAAGACGCCGACTTTGCGCTCCGCCCCCTCCCCACTCGCGGCTCTCTCCCTGCCGTCCTGGCCAAGGTTTGTCGCCGCTGGGTGTTCGGGCCCCGAGAGCCGACAGGAAGGCAGGGCCCGAACACCCAGCGGCGACAAACCTTGGGGGGCGGGCGCATGCCACAGAATGTAATTAAGCACACCGAGGATCCCATCTGTGGAATATGATGTGCAAAAGCTAGGACAGCCTATAAGTCTCTCTTACCTTATACAGTGCTGTCTGGCTAGCTTTCTAATCATTACACTCATGTACAGCAAGGCCAGCCTAAACCACTAAAGCTACTAAAGCTATCCACCATTTCCTTATGAATTAATAAAATGCATTGTATCAGTTTGGTCTTTCAGATTAGCTTGGCAAAAATCGTGTTGATGTAATACTGCATTCATGTGGAAATCATGAGGAAAAACCTGTGCATCACTTTTTACACAACATATTAGCACTATTTTACTTAGCAGCCCAATAAAATCTCTAGGTCCAACCTGGTCATCCCATTCTAAAAGGCCTAGCTATGCTTCTGTCTGTGAGGATTTTGTTTTTTGAAGTTTTTAGACTTTGTTGGACACTCATGAGGACATCCCATTACATAAATACTAAAAGGAGGGGTCAAATACTTATTCACAGCACTGTACATCAGAGGTTAAACTGTGGAGTCTTGTGCTACCAGCCCATAGTGCCCTAAAGCATAAACAGGGATCCATTTCAGTAAAAGCCTAAGGATTCAGTAGAACCTACAGGCTCCATGTTTGCACCAAACTGACTTGGATGAAACATTGTGAGCACAGTGAAGAAGGTTGTGGTTTCTCTTACAACTTCATCCGTTGTTCGCTTGCTATTGGAAAGCATTTAGCCCGAGGTAATGATTGAAAACATTTGATAAAAGACAGATTTCTTCTCTCTGGTTACGTCTCTGGGTAACTATCGGCAGAGAGGATGAGTGTGGAGAGAGTTGATTGAATTAGATGAATATCTACGGCTCTAGTTATTTGTGGGCAAGGCGGAGAGAGGGTCTGCCCGGAGGCCGGGAACACTTTCCCGTGGCAATCAGGAGACACAGTAAGGGACTGACGTTTGAAACAAAAAGTTTAAAGCAATAAATGGTAGGAAATACATGTCAAATTCAGTAGAATGTGTAGTCATTTGTCGAATATTGTATGTCTACTATTATATACCAACACCTTGACCATGTATCCGTTAACTGTTTCTGTTCTGAACTGCAGTTATGTGTTTTCTTAACTCACTTTACTTTCATTTGTGATGGTTCAATTTGAATTGGACTAGTTTGAAATAAAGCTAGTAGAGCACCTTTGACTCAGTTTTTCTTTTTTTTCATGTTTATTTCACAAAAAATGTTCTAGATACTGCTGGTGACATCTCATATTAGTAATAAAATAATGCGTGACCAAGGCGTGGGAATGAGATAATTAAGTTGTGGCCACAACTTAATAAGGCATGGGGATGAGATCCTAATTCATGGTCACAACTTAGTAAGGCATGGGAATGAGATATTTACGCCTTCACCACATCTTAATAAGGCATGATCTCATTCCCGTGACTAAAAATAATAAAAGTTACGCATGGCCACGACTTAATTATCTCATTCCAATGCCTTGCTAAATCATGGCCACAAATTAATTATCTCATTCCCATGCCTTACTAAGTCATGGTCACACATTACTTTTATTTATTTGGAATGTTACCAGCAGGGCTTTGTACTTTCTTATACAAACTTGCTTAACTTTATTGGGGAAAATAAAGAATCAGAACCCAGCGTTACCTGTTAATCCCTAGAAGTCTAAAGTTATTGTCGTTTTTCTGGCTATTCGGAGAACACGCTTCCACTGCCAGTGGTGGCATGTTTACACCACTCCAGCCGACACTTGGCATTGCGCATAGTGATCTTAGTTCTGTATGTGGCTGCTCAGCCATTGAAACCCATTTCATGAAGCTCTCAACACACAGTTCTTTTTCTGATGTTTCTTCAGAGTGATGCAACACAGGATAGGCGATTTTTATGTGCTATATGCTTCAAC